GTGGAATTTGAATTGATTTTTTTTTTTCACCATTTAAAGGTTGATCAATATGAAAAGCAAATATGCTCGTATTTTTACACATACATTTTTAAGGCATTTTGTCAGTCAATGAAACTGCAGAGATCAGGATGACAGACCTTCTCTTTTATGTTTAAAAACAACGAGGAGTCCGGTGGCACCTTAAAGACTAACAGATTTATTTGGGCATAAATTTTTGTGGGTAAAAACCACTTCTTCAGATGCATGGAGTTTATGATGTTTATCCACGCACCTGAAGAAGTGGGTTTTTTACCCACGAAAGCTTATGCCCAAATAAATCTGTTAGTCTTTAAGGTGCCACCGGACTCCTCGTTATTTTTGTGGCTAAAGACTAACACGGCTACCCCTCTGATACTTTTATGTTTAATCATTCTGGAACTGGTATTTAATGACAGAAAAACATTTTCAGGCATTGTTGGAATAGTTTTGTGGCCACGTTTTTACCCATTCTGTGTGGTCACTCAATTCAAGAATGATAGGTGTGCAGCTGAGGCCCTCTAGTGTAACAATTGAGCATTGCTTTACTCAGGCAGATATCCATTTAAGAAATTTATTGCAAATAAAGTCATTCTAAGGCCCTTCTGTTCAGAGGACCACTTTGTCCTACAGTGTGTCTGATGGCCTGTTAAGAGAGACAAGGCAGGTGAGGTAATATTTTTTTTATTGGACCAACTTCTGTTCGTGAGAGAGAAAAGCTTTTGAGTTCTTCTTGACATCTGGGTGACTTACTCTGAATGGCACAGCTAAATACAAGATGGAACAGATTGTTTAGCATACATAGTTAATACATTTTTCAAGGGACCATTCAAGGTGAAGTGGTTAGTTAACACTCCCCAGTCGGAGGAAGGAAAGGAAGAAATGGGGAGCTGCTGGTGGAGGGGACGGGGGTTCTGTTAGTGGGTTTATATACATTGTTGTAATAAGCCATAAATCCAGTGTCTATTCTGTCCATGATTTTTAGTGTCTAGCAAAGTTATGAATTTAAGCTCCCAGGCTCATCTTTTAAAAGTGTTGTGCAGGTTTCCTTTGAGGATGAGGACTGATAGATTGGATATAGAGAGAGCACTTTGTGAAAAGTGTTCATGCACAGGTAATATGGTGTTTTTGTCTTTTATCATTTTCCTGTGTGAATTCATTTGAGAGCGTAGTGATTGTCAGGTTTCACCCATGTAGTTGCTGTTGGGGTATTTAGTGCACAGTTTGAGGTAAACCCCATGTTTTTATAGGCATGGGTAGGAGCCATTGATCTTGAAAGGTGTGTTGTGTGGGGTGTCAATAATTGTAGCCGTGGAGATATGTCTGTAGGTTTTGCATCTGTTGTTCTGGCAGGGTCTGGTGCTGCTTTGAGTTGGTGTGTCCTGGTCTATGGGGAGCTTGTTTTTGATGATGAGCTTGGAGAGGTTGGGGGTTGTTTGAAGGCCAGAAGAGGGAGTTCAGGAAAGCTTTCTTTCAGGGTGGGGTTTCCATCAAGTATGGGTTGTCATTGTTTGATGATACCCTGTATGGGTTCCAGTGTGGGGCAGTAGGTGACAACTAGGGGTAGGCAGTTGAAGGGGGGTGTTTATTCCTTGTATTGAAGCAGGTTCTCTCAGGATTTTTGGGTGGCCTGTTCCATGTTGTGATCTACTTCTCTGTGGATCGTCCTTGTTTGGTAAAGGTGGTTTTGAATGTGTTACAGTGTACATCCTGGATTTTCTCCTTGGAGCATATTCTGTGGTATCCAAGTGCCTGGCTGAAGATAACAGATTTCTTGGGTAGTTGTTCATTGCTGAAGCAGATCGTGGTGTCCAGGAAGTTGATGCTGGTATGAGAGTGTTCCAGAGAGAGTTTAATGGATGCGTGGTGGTTGTTGAAGTTGTGGTGAAAATCTATGAAGGAGTTTGTCATCAGTCCAGAGGATGAAAATATCTATGTAGCTCAGATACATGGTGTATTTGTTCTCTTTGTAAGATAGATTGCCTTGCACACCATATCCCTACCAGACTGTGAAATCTTCTACCTGACTGTGAAATCTTCTACCTGCTACTTTGTTCTCAATGTTTTGCTTGACAAATCACTGGTCATCCAAAGACCCCTTTTCTAATGACAATATAAACATTTTCAAGCTCTGTTAGAATGAAAGAAGTTTTTTAGTAGCTTTTATTATGCATTTTATTGTGAGAACTTAGGAACAACTAGCATACTGAAAATGTGAAGAAGCTACTTTTTCAACTAGCAACTACATAATGCTAAGTTTTAGTACAGTCATATTTGTTGTGTTTGTCCCAGGAATGACTAGGATGGATCTGGTATCCTTACATTGATCAAGCTCATCGCCCTTGGTGTTCAGGTAGTAGCATTGCTAACAGGACTGCATTGGTGTATTTGCTCCCTTGCACCATTATTAAAAATAAATTATTCAAAATAAAAATTAAAAATTGAGGGAATCTGGAAGACTTTTGCATGCGGGTCTTGCCCTCTAAATTTAAGAGCCTAACTCTGATGGTGTCTCTTTATAAAAAAGTGTCTGTTGCACCATTATTAAAGGCTTCATAAATTTAAAATTCCTGTCACACCCAGTAAAGGTAAACATTTATGCTGGAACTACCTGGGAGACGGAGAATATTCATACATAAAGGAATTTAAATAGCAAGTGCTTTTCTGTTTCCGTTGTTACTAATGAAGATGTCTGTAACAAACCACAGTGTTTTCTTACCCTGTCTGCAATGAAATTATAAATTTTTGTTTCTGATGTCCATCTGTTGCTGTAGAACTGCTATGTGACTTCACTGGTTTAAAACTCTTACTAGTAACATCTAAGTGTGTACCTTAAACAAGAGGCTCACCTTGACAATCCGCCAACTTGGGACATGCTGGTTTTGTTTGTTCGTTCTTTTTTAGATCAGGGACGGGCCCTGAAATATGGATGGATGGATGTTTGTTTTCATCTAAAGTCTAGAAAGTTTGAGTTGCCAAACAGTGTGCGAATTTATTCAAAATAAAAATAAATAAATTAAGTTGAGGGAATCTGGAAGACTTTTGCATCTGAGTCTTGCCCTCTAAATTTAAGGGCCTAACTCTGATGGTGTCTCTTTATAAACAAGTATCTGTGCAGAGGGTTAGCCAAGAGGAATCTGTTTATCATTCTGATGTTTTTCATGGTTCTTGACTAGACAGTTGTGGAGTGTGTGTGTGCGTGTGTGTGTGAGAGAGAGAGAGAGAGTGTGTCTTTTTTACTGCGGGGGACGCAATAAGAGTCTATTAAAGCTGTCACAGTAATTGGTAACTTTCTTGGGGTGCATGCACATGTTGGAGTGACTTCTACTTTAAGTTTCACCATTATATCCATGGAGAAAAATTGCACAAAACAAGGATCAGTTTTAATGCAGTTATTTTTATTTTTTAAAGGTGAGGTGAGTGTGCTACATACTGTTTTATAGGCACGTAAACTATGCCGTATCCTGCAGATTCCTGACAAGTTCAGCACCGTAGTGTACGGGTGTGGAGAACATTTGTTCAAACTAAATCTGTCCATGGAGGCTGGCAGCAGCACTAGTCTATTCTGTTGCAAGTGAGATTAGTGTGCTAGTTCATTTTTAGTTCCTTGTGGGATAATACTGTATATTGCACAGAATTCAGTAGAGTTTATCATTGATGTCAGCCTCTCCTTAAGGGGATATTGATGACTAAGGCAAGATGGAGCATTTTGTACCTTGAATATTGAGGATTTATAAATGGCACTTGATATATGAGGTACATACTACACTATTCGGTACTGATCCCTTATAACCTTTCTGGAACTGGAGTACTCTAGTTATCTGCATCTCCAGTAACTGCAGTGATCGCTGTGTTTTTTCCTGCCCTCTGTGCTACCAGCTTAGAAAATGTGCTGTCTCTCACTCCAGTTGGAGGAGCTAATACTGTTACTGAAGGAGTAACTTTTTTTTATTTCCATCTTGTCAGGCTAACCACTTTGATACACCTAGTGTACCGCCTCCACTGAACCTGGGGGAATTCCCTCTCCCAGCCACCTGAATTTATTTCATTGGTGCATTTTGGAGGTAAATTCTAGAGTAGAGCTGGTAATACCATGTAGGAGGAACTGTCTCTGGCCAAGGGCAATTATATGAAGGGGTGATTAGCAGTTCACAGGAGTGGGGGTGCGGAGTGCACAGCATTCAGAACAAATCCTTCAGTCTGAGCATTAAGTATATGAGACTCAAAAGTTTAAGGAAATAATCTAGCTGCAAATAGAATATGGGAATGAGCCGCAAGATGGAGTAATTAGCTGACCTTCTGGATGCTGCTACATACCTGTCTTCTCCTGGCATTATCTCTTTGTTTCTCCTCTCCCTCCCCCCAATATAATTGCCCTAGCTCAGACACGATCCCACTGTTCTACACCTACTTTATCCCAGCAAGCTTGCTTTGCATCTCTTACTTGTGTTCCTCACCCTAGCTGATGAGCTATTTACCTTCCCCTCCTACCTCTACCCTCACTAATGCTTGTGATATACTCTAGAAAGTTCCGAGTACTAGTTTTGTAGTGACTGGAAAAAACCCCACAACCTTTGGTGAAGCATTAATGCTGTTGCTAGATGGGAAAAATAAACTGACTGAGGAAATCTGGTGACATCAACTAAACTACAACTGGGAAGCAGCAAACAAACATAGCTGAACAATATGAAAAAATATATTTTGGTTTTGCTTATTTAAACTTTGCCTAAGGTTGGGAAAGAGTTTTGCAAGCTCTTTATGAAGCCTAAACTTTGCAAGTCTGGAGGAGGGTGGGGAAAAAATTGCCCCCCTCAACCTGATGCAGAAAAACTTCACAAAAACTTCATCAGTAGATGAGAAGGAATAGCTCAATTAGAGTACCAGTGTAACAAAAGGAAATCAAATCATCAGTATCCATAACTTACATACTTATTTGCAAATTTTTAAAAAAGGAAATGGGTACAGTATGTTGTTCTACTTTTCAGCTTTTCAAGGATTTTACGCATAGCATTTGAGGTATTGCAGGGTTTGCAATATATGAACAAACATGGAATGGTCCACCGAGCACTCTCCCCTCACAATATCCTCCTGGATCGAGAGGTAAGGCTACTGGAATATCCTCTTAAGCAATCAAAGTCAGTGACACATTGTACATTTTGGGGCCTGGCCAGTGAGAAATGGCTTTGGGATCCTTCTGGATGAAATATTTTTTATAATAGGGACATTTTTACAGTCAAAACAAGAAGTGTTCTCAAAATGTATAGAATTTCAGATGTGTTTACAGTTTAGTCCCTTTTCCACGTCTCCCAGCCCAGGTTTTTTACCCTTTTGTCTCTTTTTTTAAGGAAGTTGTACTATTACGACTTTTTTTGTATTGGCATTCATAGACCACCTTGACTACTGCTGTAGGATAATTTAACCCTTAAGCATAGTTGTGGATAATGCTGTGTATATCCCATCTCTCTCACACACACACATGGTGGAAAAGAGTTTAGTATTTGCTTTTTAAATGGTGGTGTATTTTTGTTTCATAATCTGAGTGGATCAATGCAGTCCCAAATTCTGATCGTTCTCTCCCATCTGTCACAGATTTTCTAGTTTGCAGAAAGGAATATAGATGCCATGTACAAAAAGCAAGAAAAACATAATGGATGTAGTCAGAGCAGTCACATCAGTGCATTGAAACTAAGGAGCCTAATTGTGCCTTACTTTTTTTCAACTCCTCTTTAAAGGAGCCAAATAGTGCTACCACTATCTCTCATCTCAAATCCTACCTTTGCAATGAAGTGGGAAAGGGAACAGGCAGAAACATTGTTGTTCTGTTTCCTTGCTTTGGGTAAAAGACATGTATTTCAATTTGATGAAAACTGAGTTCATAGAAAATGAAATCCCTGAGGAACAAAAGTACTCAGGATTTTAAGATGGTATTAAAGACTTGAAATAGATGACAGGGAGCTGGAGAGAGCAGTTACATGGACTTTTAAAGGGTTGATTCTCTCCCCTTAAATTGCTTAAAAACCTGATGTGTTGTAGTCTTCACTCAGACATCAAACCCATTTTGGTGCAGCCTGACATGTGACCATGGTAAAATGAGAGTTTGTATGTCAGGCTTGGGCCTGGAGTTATTTCTTTATAACGAAATAACCCGGGAAAACTTGGCTTTTTATATTGGGAGTGTTAACGTAACCTTCTCTAAAGCAGCACAGATGTCACTGCTCTGACTTCAGAGAGGAAGCAACTGTGCTAATGTATAGGGGTAATATGCAGCAAATGTTCTTTTAACATCATTATGGATGGGAGATGAATGAAAAGGAATGAGTTAGTGCTGGAGAGAAGGTTGGTAATGAAAGTTAGGTATGGAATTGATGGGAAGAGAGGAAGGAGAGGACTGAGTAAATGAAGTGATAAATGGAATGAGGGAGAAGAGAAGAAAGAATGCATTCCAATTTTTAAACCTGAGTGGAAGTAGTTGGGGGGGGGAATATGTTTTGGATGCAAGAAGAAAAAAAATGAAGCAACATTGCTTATGACTGCACAGAAAGTAAGGAAACTTGACTTAATATTCTCTTAGTGTGGTGTTCATTTTATTTCCCAGTATGCTGCCCACACGAGTAAACACTCTCATTAATTTCCAGTAAAGTTTTGTCTGCATATAGGAATCCGGACCTGAGAAGCTGGGTTTTGTATTTTTAAAATACACTTGGGACAAACAGAAAATTTCAGTCTCCAGCTCTTTCTGACACTTCTCAGATTGCTAGCACAATTTAAAAGAATTTATATATTTTTAATTCTTTCTGTGGCCTATGTAATATGTAGAGTTTCATTGCTAATATATTTTTTCTTTTACAGGGACATATTAAATTGGCTAAGTTTGGACTATACCACATGACAGCTCATGGTGTTGATGTTGATTTTCCTATAGGGTAAGGATACATACATGCAATATAGACCTCTTAGGCATTGTATATTTGATAGTAAATTGTTGGGCGCACACACTGAAATGTATGAAAGCTTGCAAGGAAAGATTAAACATTAGTTAAAGGGAAATATGCCTGTAGAACTTTTTTTAATCTGTAACTCTGTGTGCTTTGTATTTTTGGGTGAGTGAATAAATAATTAGTTTGGAAGAAAATGTTTTTGAGTCACTTTAACCACCTCAGTCGCCATTGATTCCTGGAGTCTGAGGTGCTAAACATGGCTGGGCCTGTCGCATTAACATGGTTGGGAACCAGAGTTGCATCCCGGAGATCCAATCTAGGAGTGCTTTGACCACAGGGTTCTATCCACTGAGAGGTGCAGGAAACCACGTCTGTCAGCTGAGGGGATACTCTCTGGAGGGACTAAAAGGAGTTAAGGTGCAGTTCTCCTTGTAACCGTGACACCTAATAAGAATCAAAGAGGAAATGAATACATATATAGACAACAAGAATACCCAGAGTTATAATTAATACAAATACAGAGTTTTGGCTTAACCTAACAACTAATTATTAGAGGTTAGATTTATTTTTGTGGAGACAGATTATACCACATATACCTTCTGTGGGATTCTTACACACCTTCCTCTGAAACATCTGTTGCTGGCCACTTTCAGACACAGTGGCCCTCTGGTCTCATCCACTGTGGCAATTGTTATATTCCTTTGTAGAAGTTGTTAACGTGACATCTGCTTTCAGCTCCCAAATAGTATAATTATGAGCCTGGTTTGCAGGCCAGACACAGGAGATGGGTAGAAAATGAATAACAAAACTTTTACAAAATCACAGTACACCAAGAAATGCAAATACATAAAACAGAATGAAAGTAAATAATCCTTATAAACATCCATTCAAGTTATAGCTGAATGCAACTTGCTTACATTTATTCATTTGGAGTGTCCAACCTGAGATGCCTGATGGGATCAGATTGGGGTGTCTAACTGTAATAGAAACAATGCAGGTAACTATAATTAAGGATTTTTTTTTCACCCACAGTTTCATCATTTTTTTTCCAAACACAGAGTTAAAAAAAAAAGTTAGTTAACAATACAATTTTAAACTTTAGCCTTTGAGAGTAACTGTGATGGCAAGGCAAATCTCACATAAATTCACCACCATTTAGCCAAATACTTTAACCGTAAACCAGTTGGTCAGCTTAAATTGTGACGGGTTGGATCACAGAAACCCCCTTGGGAGCTGCCACCTGATGTGCCAAGACTACCCCTGCTTCTGTTTTCCCTGCCAGCTCAGGACTCCAGCACCCTGTCTTGCTGAACCAGACACTCCCGTCTGGCTCCAGCACCAACCCAGGGTCTGAATCACTTGTCCCAAAGCTGCAAGTTTACCCGAAAACAGCTCACAGAGGTGTGCTTGTCTTTAGCACTCAGATGCCCAACTCCCAATGGGGTCTAAACCCAGATAAATCCGTTTTACCCTGCATAAAGCTTATGCAGGGCAAACTCATAAATTGTTCGCCCTCTATAACACTGATAGAGAGAGATGCACAGTTGTTTGCTCCCCCAGGTATTAATACATACTCTGAGTAAATTACTAAATAAAAAGTGATTTTATTAAATACAGACAGTAGGATTTAAGTGGTTCCAAGTAGTAACAGACAGAACAAAGTAAGTCACCAAGCAAAATAAAATAAAATGCGCAAATCTATGTCTAATCAAACTAAATACAGATAATCTCACCCTCAGAGATGCTTCAGTAAGCTTTTTCTCAGACTGGACACCTTCCAGGCCTGGGCACAATTCTTTCCCCTGGTACAGCTCTTGTTCCAGCTTAGGTGATAGCTAGGGGATTCTTCATGATGGCTTCTCCTCCTCTGTTCTCTTCCACCCCTTTATATATCTTTTGCATAAGGCGGGAACCCTTTGTCCCTCTGGGTTTTCACCCCCCCTCACTGGAAAAGCACCAGGTTAAAGATGGATTCCAGTTCAGGTGACATGATCACATGTCACTGCAAGACTTCATTACTCACTTGCCAGCACACACATATACAGGAAGACTCACAGGTAAACACAGTCATCTGCAGACAATGGTCCTGTTAATGGGAGTCATCAAGATTCCAAACCATCATTAATGGCCCACACTTTACATAATTACCATAGGCCCTCAGAGTTATGTTTTATATTTCTAGTTTTAGATACAAGAGTGGTACATTTCTACAAATAGGATGATCACACTCAGTAGATTATGAGCTTTGTAATGATACCTTACAAGAGACCTTTTGCATGAAGCATATCCCATTTGCATTATAGTCACTTATTATCAAATTTTTATAAAACTATCCCAGTTACATTATATTCACTTATTATCATGTTTTTATAAAACCATATAGACTGCACAATGTCACATCTCACATAAATTCACCACCATTTAGCCAAATACTTTAACCGTAAACCAGTTGGTCAGCTTAAATAAACCGCAATTTCTAGTTCTAAAAGTGTCCTTAGATATGAAGATTTAAGTTACTTTTAACTTGCCTAAAATTTATGTTTTGATCATATGCAAATTTATTTTGGTTCATTTTTATTTTTTTGCATGTTACTTGATCACTTCATTTTCCTGGATAATGTTTCATGTATTGATGTGTCCATGTGTGAGAAAAAGATAGCTTGGTATTGTCTACTATTAGTTCTCCTTCCCTAATAAGTAGTGGTCCTCTGCTTTTCTTTGTCTTTCTCTTGCTCCTAATATATGTATATAACTTCTTTTATGCACCTTGGTATGTGTAATTCATTTTGTGTCTTAGCTTTTCTGATTTTGTCCCCACATACTGGCCCTATTCTTTTGGACTCATCTTTAGCAATTTGTCTGTTGTCCTCTGCCTTCAGATTTGCAACCAATTCCTCTTTGTGTGAGGAGCACTGCCCCCCTGGTTGCTTCTTCCACGTTCTGAAACAAGAAGTTGTCCCCAACACATTCCGAGAACCCACTATTAAGGGCCCAAAAGCAAGCTATTCCGCTGGTTAGGAAAGATAGAAAATGTGGCAAAAGACCACCTTGGCTTAACCACGAGATCTTGCATGATCTAAAAAATAAAAAGGAGTCACATAAAAAATGGAAACTAGGACAGATTACAAAGGATGAATATAGGCAAACAACACAGGAATGCAGGGGCAAGATTAGAAAGGCAAAGGCACAAAATGAGCTCAAACTAGCTAAGGGAATAAAGGGGAACAAGAAGACTTTTTATCAATACATTAGAAGCAAGAGGAAGACCAAAGAGAGGGTAGGCCCACTGCTTAGTGAAGAGGGAGAAACAGTAACAGGAAACTTGGAAATGGCGGAGATGCTTAATGACTTCTTTGTTTCGGTCTTCACCGAGAAGTCTGAAGGAATGCCTAACCTAGTGAATGCTAATGGGAAGGGGGTAGGTTTAGCAGATAAAATAAAAAAAGAACAAGTTAAAAATCACTTAGAAAAGTTAGATGCCTGCAAGTCACCAGGGCCTGATGAAATGCATCCTAGAATACTCAAGGAGCTAATAGAGGAGGTATCTGAGCCTCTAGCTACTATCTTTGGAAAATCATGGGAGACGGGAGAGATTCCAGAAGACTGGAAAAGGGCAAATATAGTGCCCATCTATAAAAAGGGAAATAAAAACAACCCAGGAAACTACAGACCAGTTAGTTTAACTTCTGTGCCAGGGAAGATAATGGAGCAAGTAATTAAGGAAATCATCTGCAAACACTTGGAAGGTGGTAAGGTGATAGGGAACAGCCAGCATGGATTTGTAAAGAACAAATCATGTCAAACCAATCTGATAGCTTTCTTCGATAGGATAACGAGTCTTGTGGATAAGGGAGAAGCTGTGGATGTGGTATACCTAGACTTTAGCAAGGCATTTGACACGGTCTCGCATGATATTCTTATCGACAAACTAGGCAAATACAATTTAGATGGGGCTACTATAAGGTGGGTGCATAACTGGCTGGATAACCGTACTCAGAGAGTTGTTATTAATGGTTCCCAATCCTGCTGGAAAGGCATAACGAGTGGGGTTCCGCAGGGGTCTGTTTTGGGACCGGCCCTGTTCAATATCTTCATTAACGACTTAGATATTGGTATAGAAAGTACGATTATTAAGTTTGCGGATGATACCAAACTGGGAGGGATTGCAACTGCTTTGGAGGACAGGGTCATAATTCAAAATGATCTGGACAAATTAGAGAAATGGTCTGAGTTAAACAGGATGAAGTTTAACAAAGACAAATGCAAAGTGCTCCACTTAGGAAGAAAAAATCAGTTTCACACATACAGAATGGGAAGAGACTGTCTAGGAAGGAGTACGGCAGAAAGGGATCTAGGGGTTATAGTGGACCACAAGCTAAATATGAGTCAACAGTGTGATGCTGTTGCAAAAAAAGCAAACGTGATTCTGGGATGTATTAACAGATGTGTTGTGAGCAAGACACGAGAAGTCATTCTTCCGCTCTACTCTGCTCTGGTTAGGCCTCAGCTGGAGTATTGTGTCCAGTTCTGGGCACCGCATTTCAAGAAAGATGTGGAGAAATTGGAAAGGGTCCAGAGAAGAGCAACAAGAATGATTAAAGGTCTTGAGAACATGACCTATGAAGGAAGGCTGAAAGAATTGGGTTTGTTTAGTTTGGAAAAGAGAAGACTGAGAGGGGACATGATAGCAGTTTTCAGGTATCTAAAAGGGTGTCATAAGGAGGAGGGAGAAAACTTGTTCACCTTAGCCTCTGAGGATAGAACAAGAAGCAATGGGCTTAAACTGCAGCAAGGGAGGTCTAGGTTGGACATTAGGAAAAAGTTCCTAACTGTCAGGGTGGTTAAACACTGGAATAAATTGCCTAGGGAGGTTGTGGAATCTCCATCTCTGGAGATATTTAAGAGTAGGTTAGATAAATGTCTATCCGGGATGGTCTAGACAGTATGTGGTCCTGCCATGCGGGCAGGGGACTGGACTCGATGACCTCTCGAGGTCCCTTCCAGTCCTAGAATCTATGAATCTATGAATCTATAAACCTATTGTTTCAAAATCTTTTGTAGTTCCCTGTAAGTGAGAGAATGGTTTCTTCAACTTCTGAATTATATTGGTCCTCAAAGTTTTATGGTCTCATTCTCTGTTGCCCCCTTGCTTTTTTTTCCTGTGTCCTTATTAGTAACTTCCTCTATATGTACACACAAGATGAAATTGTTTCACTTCAGTATCTTTCTGGCTCCTGTAGTCAGGCTTCTTTTGATGCTTTGTAATTTTTGGGACATTTTTTAACTAACTACGGACCTTTGGCTTCTGAAGCTATGAACATCAGCAGCTATGGTCTCTCTATCCCAAAAAGTTGACTTCTCAGTTTTAAGTATTGTACCATCTATTGCTGATTCATACTGAACAAGCTTTAAATGGAAAAAAAATTAAGATGAGTTGTTGAGGCCATTGTTGTTTTTTATTTTTTGGTTTATTTTCCATCTGTTGCTAAACTAACTTAAAAGTTGTCTGATGGCTATGAACTAAATATTGGGTATGATATAATTGTTGACATTATAAAGAAATCAACAAGGAAGAACACATACTGAAAAAGCACTTGTAATATTAGGTTAAATACAAGCATATGGTAAAGTTTAATGAACATTTTCTCTGTTGTGTAAGACACTTTTTAAAAAAAAAAATCTTGCCACCATTCACTCCTGCTCACAAAAAACACTTGTATAAAGAAAAAAATGGATTTTTCGTGTTCTCGATATTACAGTGGCTCTGTCTGCACAGTTTGACCTACTATGCTTTCGGGGCATTCTAAGTTGCTGTGCACTTTTAGTGAGTTTGCTTTTATCCAATTTTTTTTTCAGTACAAGAACTTATTTTTACTAGTGTAGTTGACAATGTCTTAATGTACAAATTCTTACCTCTTGTTGCATTGTTATAGGTACCCATCATACCTGGCACCTGAAGTAATTGCACAGGGATTTGTCAAACCTAGTGATCACACTCAGTGTGAGAAGCTGCTGCCCTCTGGCCCTAAATCAGATGTGTGGTCTCTTGGTATTATTTTATTTGAGCTTTGTGTGGTATGTTACTGAGTAATTCTTGTGTGTTTGATTATATGACACTCAGTGAAGAATTTTGTGTACACGTGTTTTCACTTTGTACCTATGTCAACTCAAGAAAAGCTGTTTTGCAAGTAATGGTTAAATTAACAATAACTATTCAGTGGATACTAATGATACTTACTATTGGAGCATAACACTGGGAAAACTCATCCTGTCACCAAAGAATTGAGTTCCTGTGTGGTGTCATGGATTTATACAGAAGATGTTGCCTGTTGGCTCCATGACTTCAGATAAATTCCAGCTAGTTTCCACTAGCTATACACGATAAATTGGACTTCTTTATCACAAGGATCATAATGTTCTATTATTCAGACAGTAAAAATGTTTGTCTTTAATCTTATTACATTAAACAGAATTTAAGTTATCTGAATTGTATGGTCAGGGCAGTGGAATTCAATGGTTAGAACAAGCCATTGGCAATCAGGAATCTTAGCTTCGGTTTCCTGCTTTGCTAGACTTGCTCTGTGACCTCACACAAGTTATTTAACCTCTTTGAATGGCTTCCTCATCTGTAAAATGGGAATAACATTGGTTGAAAGCCACTATATAAGAGCAAACTATGACTATTTGTCGTAGACATTAAAAACTAAATCTTAATTATAGTTGTTCATAGTGATGTGAACGATTACACAATACTTCCATGGTAATGTGTGTGTTTTTAAAATCCTATTCTTTTTGAGTTAAAAAAAAATCAGGTACATTAAGAAAGCTCATTAGGAGTACATCCCTGAATTTACTTCCAGTTTTAAAAAACAACCCCCAAAAGGTAGGTAAACAAACAAACAAACATAAATAAATCTTATGGTCATGATAGTGGAATGGTAGATTTGCTATAGTTAAGGTTGAGAGTTACTTACTGTCTAACAGATAACTTTTCTAAGAGTTCTAAAATCTACAGCTGACTCTGACTTTCTTTATATATACTTAGGGTTGCACAGGGCATGTACATGTGACAGATGGACATTTAATTGTTGACATAATTTTCTATTCCATTTAGGGTAGAAAACTGTTCCAGAGCTTGGATATAGCTGAAAAACTAAAACTTCTGCTTACATTAGGTGAGTGACCTAAATGTAACTACAGGGTTCAATGCCGGTCTTCTAAGTTCCCAAATAAATCTATAACCAGGGCGATAAGTAAACTCAGGATGCACATGCCTAAGACAAATTAATTTTGGAGATGCAATTTTGGAAAGATAATGGGCATCTAGCAGCTTCACTTGAGCTGGTATAGGGAAGCAGCAGCAACTGTGTGCCAGATATGCACAGCAAAGGAGCATTGTGCTTGTAGTGTGTTGAATGGTGGGGTAGAGGAGGAGTTGCTGAGAGGAGCCAGTTCTGATGGTTATTTATTATTTGGTATAAACAAGTCAAGAACACAGTCTCTGTGCCAAAGATATTAGTATGCAAGCCACTAAACAGATAAAGGGTTGAATGGAAGGATAACTGTTCAGGCAGTGACAAGCATGTCTTGCTAGTTCTAGATTCTTTTTGTTATAGTCTTCTTTTTTTTAATTTGCCGACCGGGCTATAGACACGGAGGTGTAGGTGTGATTTGAATGAGATGGGGCTAGTAGAAAGACTTAACAGTTTTTAAAATGCCATTCAAGCTTCTTTAAAAAGAAAGACCTACAGCAAAGTGGGAGTGCTGCGACAGACTGACCTGGGAACTATCAAGTGTGATGGTCCTCAAATTGAGACCTGAGGACGCATGTTAAATTGGTCTAAAGCTGTCTGCAGTACCTGTAAAGTTAACTACTATTAACACAAATTTTTCTTCAGCAAATTGTTTTCTTTCTAAATCGCTCACTATTTTGAATAGTTATTTGATCACAAAATAAAACCCATGGAAGCTGTCACTGTTTCAGAATGTACCTGTATTCCTCCTCGCCATGGTCCACTCCAGGAGTGTCTAGTCAGGTCTCTACCCTTTACCTGTCTTTGAGTTGGATTTTAAGACAGCCCAGGTCCCTGCCTTACACTGTGATATCCCCAGCAAGTCAATTTGCTTAAAGGCCAGCACCTGTGCTTTGCTTTGTCCCTGAGGATTATGAACAACATATTGTGGGCAGTGACAAGTTACCACACAGCTCTTTCTAAATAAGCACATTTATTCTTAAGGTGAAAGTATTAGGAAGAAAGCATAATAAAAAACAATAAACAGACTTAAACACACACTAAATATGTTAGGAGCCACCTGGCAGTTTTAATGAGCTCTAGGAGGTCAAAGCCTGTCCAATCCTTCCTCAAGGATCCGGGCCCCCATTGGGCAGCAGGTCCTATTGGTTTGTAGGATCAGAAAGCAGGCCCTGAGTCAGTTTAAACACAGCCTTTTTATGCCAAAAGCCTGTTGGTCTCTGGAAAACCCAATCTGAACCAGTATATGCAAGCCTCCCCAGGATGTGGTTTCTCTCTGGAGGTGTTTACAGCCTAAGTGATTCACCTTAACGACCCTACCACACACATACTGTCTATTGTTCCCAGAAGATTTGTGGTAAACCTCCCACAGTGGTCCATAAACTTAATATGATATGGTCCCCAAAGATATTTCATGGGATTCCTATTTTTAAAGGAAAAAAACCTAGAAATTGTAAAGCTCTCAGATGCTATTGTGATGTGTCACCATAAAGCCAATGAGGAGTCCATTGGCACCTTAGAGACTAACAGATTTATTTGGGCATAAGCTTTTGTGGGTAAAAAACTTGCTTCTTCAGATGCTTATGCCCAAATAAATCTGTTAGTCTTTAAGGTGCCACCGGACTCCTCGTTGTTTTTGTGGATACAGACTAACACGGCTACCCCTCTGATACTTGACACAAAGCCAATCAGTCAAATAAATACTTTAAGAAATTGGGGGGGAGGGCGGAGGAAACTTTCTTTGTGTCTTTTTAAACAGTACCACTTTCTCATTATAATCTTTGTTCTTCCTACTGTTCTATTTTGTAGGCTGTGTGGATGACATTGTAACCGTATTAGCTGAAGAACATGGTTGTCTGGACATTATTAAGGTTGGTGAATTAGTCCACTCATCAGTGTTTTCTTAACTGAAATTACTTGTTTTGTACGTTTTATTGGATTCATTCTTTTTTCTTCTTTGCTGAAGTGAATTCAGTCCAAAAGATTTGTAACTTACTTGATTACTTTGATTTCCATAGTATTTTTTACTATAGTGATATTTTAGACTTTAGATGCTGAAATGCATAGGGCCATAAGTATTCAGAAGAGCTCCATCCTTTCCCAAAATTACTGACAATCCAAATAAAATGTAGACAATACTTTTCAGACTCTCATGATACACTAGTAGAAGACCCAGTCTTCAAGTGATGCAGATTTTTAAAATCTGTTTTTGGTGTTGTAATGACTAGTGAGCTAATCTGTGACGCTGTAATAATTCTATTAATATATAATTACACAGCTGAGTCCAGATTTTCAAAAGCAACTAGTGATTGTGGTTGGCTCAATTTTTGGGTGTCCGGGCTGAGAAACTACAAAGGGGTGGAATGATTTTTTCAGGGGCGAGAATGCCCCATGTTTTAAGGTTTCTCAAATTGGACATCCAAAACCACTAGTCAGTTTTGAAAATCTTGGCTTTAATATATTAATTCTGACTTCTAGAACATTTTGTCCAAACTAAAAACTATACTCATGACAGTAGCCGTAACATTTTAGACCCTGTTCCAGCTAAATCCTTAAGTATATATGTAGTCTCATTGACTTCAGTAAAACTAATTATGTACTTAAAGTTTAATGTATGCTTATGTGGCTGGCTGGATCAGTGTAGTAGTAATCAATTGTTGATAATATTTTTTCACCTTTTATGTTCCAGGAACTTCCTGAAAATGCCATAGCTCTGCTGAAGAAATTCCTTACATTTCAACCTTCCAAAAGGTAAGTATTCAATCCAGATTTACAGTAAATTGAATAATTCTGCTGGGCCTAAAGCAATTAACTAGATGAAGCTGAACTGCATTCAGTATTAATATTGACATGTTACGTAAAAGTGCATCCATGCATGCCCCTCCATATAGTAATGCATCAATTTATTACTTTTGTACTACTTTCCATCATCATTTAACATTTCTTTTATATGTGTTGCAAAAATATCTTGTGAGTAAAAAGTGGAAGCATGCTGTTTAAACCAGAATTATAGCATGCTAGATTAAACCAGAATTATAGCACCTGTTGCTGTAATTTTTCCCAAACAGGCTTGTGTTTTCCCAGCCCATGACTAAACAAAACAGTACCAAAAATGACCATCCAATAGAGCTGTTTACCATATATGATTGTTTCTTTTTAAATTCCAAGAAAAAATATTTGGAATAATTGCATTGCAGGATGAAGCACTGTGGGTAATTAATCAGAACTGAGACTAATCAACTCTGTTTGGGGAAAAGGGGAAATATGCACATTTATGATGCTTGATGTCTAAAAATGAGTTATTTGAATCAGATCTCCTGATTATTTTTATTTTAATAAAAAGTAAAAGACCAGCTTTATTCTTAAAAAAAGCAAGATTGAATCTTGGTGTTTGGAAGTAAACTATTTAGTCACTTTTAAGTTGACAGGTTTTACTGATTCCCTCTTTGGAAATTTGAGGTGTTTATTGTAGCTGTACCATAACCAACATGATTGGTATTACTTCAAAACACATTCTTGTGTGCCGTTGCTTGATGTGTTGTAGAATCCTTGGTCTCAGGATATTAGAGAGAAGAGGTGGGTGAGGAAATATTTTTAATGGGCCAACTTTTGTTGGTGAGAGAGAGACAAACGTTCGAGTTTACACAGAGCTCTTCTTCAGGTGACCTGAAAAAGAGCTCCGTGTAAACTTGAAAGCTTGTATCTCTCACCAACAGAAATTGGTCCAATAAATGATACTATCTCATCCACATTGTTTCTAATGCACTGGCATGAGTGACCTCTCTTTTAAAAAACACTTTAAGTACAGCATAGAGCTACTCACTAACTAAAGGTGAAAAAAGGCTCATTTATGACCAAAAGAATGCTGGATTGTCTCATTGTGTTACCTTTGTTAATTTGTTTATATCTTCAGTAAAGACAGCAGAGCCTAATTTAGCCTTGGCTACGCTGGCGCTGTACAGCCCTGCAACTTGCTGCGCTCAGGGGTGTGAAACCTCTCTCTCCCCCCCCTCCCCCCGAGCGCAGCAAAGCGCCAGTGTAATCAGCGACTGCAGCGCTGCACGCTCGCTCGCAGCGCTGCAAGCTACTCCCCTCAGAGAGGTGGAGTACATACAGCGCTGCGAGAGAGGTCTCGCAGCGCTGGCAGCGCGACTACACTCGCGCTTCACAGCACTGCCGCGGCAGCGCTGTGAATTGCCAAGTGTAGCCAAGGCCTAAGTTGGGTTGAGAATAAGAATGCTTGGTCATAGATAGGCTGTACGATGTAGAATATACAGAATTATTGTAAATAAAATTGCTCACAGTGAACTGATTGCCATATGAAGCTTTGCATTTTGATTTGATTAACAAGAACATTTCTTTGGTGATATGAGAGTCCACGAACTTACCACTATTGATTTTTTTATATTAGCTTGATTTTTTTTTAAAGGGCTTTACATTTTTTTCCCTTACTGTTCTTTTTTGTACTTTTTAAAATGTTTTACTCAAGGCCAACTCCAGACCAGTTACTGTGTGACAATGTGTTCAGTGAAGTGGCCTCTGCATACCCACCCTTCCACAAACCTGCCAGTCTGTTCTCCTCCTCTCTGAGATGTGCTAATTTAACTCTTCCAGAGGACATCACTCAGCTGTGTAAAGGTAAAAGTGAGTAGCAGGGACGGGGTGTGGCAGAGAGAAAAGGGAAGTAAATAAAATGTTGCCTGTAGAGGACAGAACATGAAGGAATTGACTTTTTTTTTCTGTTTACAGATTGCTAAAGTATTAATATTACATTCTTGTAGCAAGATCTTATTGTTTCCTAATGGTTAGTGAGTAGTATTAAGGGCTTATGTGTCTGTGGGGGCACTAGAGGATGGAGGGAGGGTATCTCTGATTTGTGTTCTTTGTTCACTTTATGCATTATCCTCTGTAATAGTCACCCATTCATTGTCCTTGATCTACAGTTTTTATGATGTTTTTCAGCATAGTTCTGAGGTTTAGGTGCTGATTTCTTTTTCCATATTATTATGTGATCATTTGCAGACGGGGCTCCTTGGACATATCATGTGAGGGTTGGCTGTAGCTCCATTATTAAAATTTACATAGGCAGCCGGGTATTGGAAGTATTGGAAATCATAGGCTGTTGTCAGTTGTTATAAAGCACAATCTGTGTGGGAGAGGCTACGTTTATAAAAGTCTATACTAAAACTTTGCACTTACCTGACAGTATGTTCAAAAGAGATGGGATTTTCTTTTACCCTTGTTTGAAATCCCCACTTGAGTGAATGGGCTGCCATTATCCTTTCCGATAAGCTCAGAAGTTTCTTATTATTTTGGATATTCTTATTCGTTAATATTGTGAAGCTAAAGTAACAATTGTTAAAATTAAAGCTGAAGCCAGTACCAGCATGTGTGTGCAGCATGTGATATTTCGGTAAATCGAGGCTTTTAAACGTGAATTACTGGTTCTATCGTTGCTGTTTACTCTTAGCTCTTTGTATTGTGGAAGAGAAATACATTTTTGAATTATGGGTAAAATAAGCAAAAAACACACTTTCACTCAGTGTACTTATCTGATTTGCTCAGTTTTCTGGCACCAAATCAAACGGCAGACATTCTTTCACTTTTTTTTCTGAATGCAAGACAACCCTATAGTGTGTCCAGCTGCCTTTGTCTTCCCATGAGCCTTGCTTTAGATATTGCAAAGGGAAGATCACTTTTCTTCTAACTCTGCAGTAAGCCATATGACCTTTCAAATCTAATAATCTCTTTCTAACTAAAATGTGTTTAGAATGATTATGAAAAACATGAACTGCTTAAAAGCTGTAATTCATTTTAATTTGGCTTCTGTTAATAGATGAAGACTGTGATTACCTAGCAGAAAGATCAATTGAAGAGGTGTATTATCTCTGGTGTTTGGCTGGAGGAGACTTGGAGAAAGAACTTGTTAACAAGGAAATCATTCGATCAAAACCACCCATCTGCACGCTTCCCAAGTAAGGAAAGGAAAACACTTTTGGGGATGGAAACATGAGGAAAGGGGTGGACAGAGAAGTGTAATCCCCCCCCCCACCAAAAAAAAAGTTTGGTGGTTTTAGAAGTTCCAACTTCTTAGTTTCAGAGAGCAATTTGAAAACACCATCCTGAGTAATAGTAAAAGCCTCAATACTTCCACATATAAGCTACTATCATTCACTGTTATCCCACTTGATTTTACACCACCCACCCACACTTAATATTGCCTCTGAAAAATTTGCAATAGTGTATGGAAGGTTCAAAATACAAATTATCAACAGGCTGTAAGATTCCATTTCTTAATAAAATGATCCATTTCCAGTATACCATAGCACTAAATGATGCTACATTACTCAGTACAAAAAGCTGCATATTTAGTTACTATGCAATTTAATAAATTAAAATAAAAACTTGCCTGTTCTGTTTACATTCACATAGACCTACAATCCCATACAGTCAACACATTTCACCAGAGATGAATCATTTTTTTTTCTTTTCATAAAAAGAATATTCTACTGTACAGGATTTATGGAATTGTGACATAACTTAATGTACCCTAGAATTATATCCTTGTTGAAATCTTTATAATATGTTTAGGCTCTGGTCGTACAATGTGATATAAGTGGGTGGAGCCCTGTGCTCATGCAGATCAGATTGCAGGATTGGGTATTTAAGTAATATGTAAAATCAGCTGTGTATCTCCAACAGCATATTTATTTTTGCAGAGCAAAAGAAGATGACAAAGTTAAGGTTTGGTTGGTGGCATGAGATGGGTGAAGTTTTAGTGAGTGCAAAGTAATAAGTACAAAATAACACATTAGAAAAAATAATCCCAACAAATACAAAGTATTTCTTCACACAATGCACAGTTGCAAGAGGATGTTGTGAAGGCCAAAAGTATAACTGAGTTAAAAAAATAATTAGATAAGTTCCTGGAGGATAGATCTACCAATGGCTATTAGCCAAGATGGTCAGGGACACAACCCCATGCTCTGGGTGTCCCTAAACCTCCAACTGCCAGAAGCTGAGACTGGATGATGGGATGGATCACTCGAGATCACCCTGTTCTGTTCATTCCCTCTGAAGCATCTTTCACTGGCCACTGTCAGAAGACCAGATACTGGGCTAGATGGACCATTGGTCTGACCCAATATGGCTGTTCTTATGAGTGATTATATGACTGCAGATAACTGACTCAACTCTTTATCTGTTAATTTCCAGAGTTTCGGGGGGTGGGTGGGAGGGGCGGAGAGTGTGTTTAAGCAGTAGAATTTTTGTGATGAGAATCATTTTGTGTGTTAGTTGGCCTCCATTAAAACACACTTCCATCCTTTCGTTTTTAGTCACTTTTTTCACTTTTTTAAATGACTTCCTGTATTATTTGGATTGTAATCTCTCTCTCTCTCTTTCTCTCACACACACTCTCACTCACACACACACATTTCTGCTTCTGAGTTTAATTAGTCCCATTAATATCTATACTGAAGATGAAATATTTCTTCATTCAATGGACAGATCCTAATTTCATCTCATTAGTGAGAAACAAATAGAGAATCTGGTATTATAGATTCATAGTTTCCAAGGCCAGAAGGGACCATTGTGGTCTAGTCTGACCTACGTTCTGTATAACACAGAGGGGAAAAAAACTACATGGCCAAGTGCTCCCAGGATTTGAACCCATGACTTCTGGTGTAGAAGGTGGGAGCCTTACACCTGTGCCCATAGCCTGCCTAGACCCAGGTGAACTTAGTTTCTTGAAAATCAGCTCAGTACAGTATGTTCTAAAATACTCATTCTGTTGGCTCACCCTCATTTGGATGTATCCATAGTTGTGAAGAATTACCCTGCTACAGCCACACAGATAAACACCTTACAAGATCCTTTTGAATGACAGAGATATTTATTTCCCCCTTCCCTCACAATGCAAGCAGCTGGTGTATTGCCCTCTGTTAATCCTGGTCTGTGCCAAGATGAGGAACAAAAGGGAATGTTAATCTCATTCCGTTCTGCTTTGAAGGAGCTGTAAATGGTATTCTGATATGTGTTCAGTATCTAGAAAACGTGAGAAATACGATTTTTTTCATTCAGAATTATTTAAATATTACTAGCTTTTTGCACACTGCTTTTGAACGCAGTTCAATGTAATCAGGAGTACAGTACAGTATAATTCTAGGAGTTAGTGTTTTATTTTTGTTGTTAAACAGCTGATTGATGTAAAATTTTGCTCTTTTTTTTTTTTTTTTTTTTTTTTTTAAGTATGCGATATTATGTCCTTTAAAATAACCAGGAATTGGTGTTCTGTCTTTCTCTTTAAAGCTTTTTGTTTGAAGATGGTGAGAGCTTTGGGCAAGGACGAGATAGAAGTTCCCTCCTAGATGACACAACTGTGATACTGTCGCTGTGTCAGCTCAGAAATGTAAGCAAAATGCATTCCCAGCTGCCTAGAGAGACAAGGTGGGGAAGGTAATACCTTTATTGGACCAGCTTCTGTTGGTGAGAGAAACAAGCTTTCGAGCTTATAGAGTTTTTCTGCAGGGCTGGGAAACGTACTCAGAGTGTCACAGCTTCATACATTTTACTATTTTACTAAATACATTTAGCTGTGACATTCTATATATATTTCCCAGACCTGAAGAAGTGCACTGTGTATGCCAAAAGCTTCTCTCTTTCACCAACAGAAGTTGGTCCCGTAAAAGATATTACCTCATCCACGTTGTCTCTCTATTATCCTGAAACCGACGCGGCTAAAACAATACTTCATACCTTCTTAGCTGCTTGTAACTCAATTGCAGAAACAATTTATATTTTAAGGAATGTAAGAGAACAAGTGCTGCTGTTCTTTCAAAATACCATTTCAGGCAGTCTTTCCTGGACACTTGCCTGCTCTGGATCCAATAGAAAATTCCTTGGCCAAACTTAATTAGATTCTGAATTACATATAAAATAAAAAAGGAGAAATTACTGAACTGGGTTTTTTGTTTTGTTTGTGATACTCAGTTCATTATGTTGCATTAGCTCTATTTTTATTAGGTAATTGTGACATCCAGTGTTGGCTTAAGTTTAATAATAAAGAGGGAGGGATAGCTCAGTGGTTTGAGCATTGGCCTGCTAAACCCAGGGTTGTGAGTTCAATCCTTGAGGGGGCCACTTAGGGATCTGGGGCAAAATCAGTACTTGGTCCTGCTAGTGAAGGCAGGGGGCTGGACTCGATGACCTTTCAAGGTCCCTTCCAGTTCTAGGAGATGGGATATCTCCATTAATTAATTTATTTATTTATTTAATGAGTGTTATCTATTTTTGCTTCAGATGGAACATCTTTCAGAAGTTTAATTTCTGTCTAAGATCAGCCGACTTTACTAAATGACATGTTTACTATGATTGCTGAGTTTTCCATGGTTTAACCTCAGTCTTTGGAAACTTGAAACGAATCTGCAGCTGTTAGGCAACTGGTTTTAAGAGATCACTCAAAGATTCCCTCAAAATCACTGAATATAGTTCTGTTTCACCTCCATTAGTAAACCACATTGATTAAACAATAACTAATCAAATTATTGTTAGGGTGCTTTGGGTGATTGCTGATTCCAGGTTTTACCATATTTCTTACTGAAATATTATTTTTTCTCATTATCAGTTTACGTGTTCATTCACATGCGGTTTTTATTGTAGAGTTCTATGTTAATGCTGCGCAATTGGTATTTTGTATTTAAAGCAATAAATAGTATCCAGTATTAGTTTGGGGGAAGATGCCATATAAAAATTAAATGGATGTTACAAATGGATTGCTCAGAATTTTGGTCCATTTTGGCTTGAAGCCCTTTAATTTCTAGAGTGTTACAGGAAATGAAGCATGAGGTAATCAAGTCTGTGCACTCCACATAAAAACATGCTGATGAAGCAACAAAACTGCACTGTTTTACATTAATACATGAAAACTGACCAAAGAAATGTTTTATTACAACATGCAGCAACTACATTGGGGTGAGTTTTTGGCACATAAAATCAAATATCCATGCCTAAAGGTACAAATGCAGTAGTGGATAAATATAGAGAGCTTTCATTTTTGAGAGGATACTAGCCTGAATCTTGCTAATCTCTTAGCCAAACTTGCAGTGTTAGTTGAAAGATTTATCTTTATCTTTTGGAATCTTCCAAACACAGCTCATGGAACAGAGCACAATGATTGTAATCAAAAAAGGATCAGTGATGAATGAACTGAGAGTCTGAACTGCTCTGTCAATCCCCAGGGGAGATGGCACTATACCCTCAAGTTAAAGATTGAACTGCATAACAGAACACTGCAGGGAAGATGGTATTAAACTTTAAGCACATCGCACTGAAGATGTCTATAAACTTCAGGCTTTAAATCCAGTCTCACCTGCCTGTCACCTTTCCCGAGAACGTCTCTATTACTGTCCATCTCTCAGATGTCAATACTAAAAATGATTAATTAGCATAATTCTATTTTTTATGTAACAAGCAGTACCAAAATCTGTTGTTGGTTTGTAGCTACCTGAATCAAAAGTTCTTGTCAAAGAAAAAGAAAACAGCCATTTAACAGTGTTAAACATTCCCACATACTAATAGGTTATGTGAACAGGATTAATTTTCAGATTTGCTCAAAGTGTAAACAGAATAGCTTCCATTGATTTTTAAGAGTCGTCATATTAAATTTTGCATACTACTTATCATTTAAGGGTGGACATTCCTTCTTTATCAGAACTAAATTAATATTTAGGCAAATATTAGTACAAACAGTTAAAACTGACCAGTTATAAGTTAATACTTTTCATATTCCTTTAACTGTACCCATTAAGGTACTGAGAAGCATTTTGATGTTAAATACTTTTTTTAATCTTAATTTCAGAGACTGAAAGATGTTGGTGGGGAAGCATTTTATCCATTGCTTGAGGATGAGTAAGTATATATAATAGCATTCATTATTTTTGAGTGGTGGTTTGTATTATAGTAGAACATTGCACAACTGGACCAAGGTTTTCACAAAGAGAAATCTAGTGTTCACCTCCTATATCCTATTTAGACTCCTGAAGTCAATAGGAGCTGTCTGCTCAGCACTTTAGAAAATAGGTCTGCTTATTTAAGTGTCTAAATGTGAACTGAGAAGCTTAACTTTACCTGGTCTTGCAAATCTGGGCTTTGGTATTTAATGTATAGCACTGAGGACACAAATGCTGATTTTGAAATTTTGATCTCCTTTCAAAATTGTTTTCTAACTTAAAACCACTTTCCAGTATACATTCTTCTTTTTACATCTAATTGCATTTATTGTTATTTAGCCAGTCTTCACTGCCTTTCTCACTCTATTCCAGGCAGTCAAATTTACCCCATTCAAACAGTAATAATGAGCTATCTGCAGCGGCCAATCTTCCTCTGATCATCCGAGAGAGGGACACAGAGTACCAGCTACACAGAATTGTTCTGTTTGACAGGCTACTGAAGGTATGGAGCTTTAACAGTACTGCAATAATCTCAGTTATACATTAATTGAATGGATTAATTGATTCAGTTAATTAATTAGAGATTTCTAAAGAACTAAGCAATTGCAAGTGCAAGCAGAGAAGTGAGAGAGTAAGGAGAGAGGAAAATAGAAGAGAACTAGGTGCAGAAGTGAATCCAAGAGAAGAGGGAAAATAGGAGTTAGGAGAAACTGCAAAAAGAAGAGGCAATTATAGAAATCCCTACAATAAGAAAGGCCTTAAAAATAGAAATAAAATCTGAGTCATTATTATTAACACAGTTGCATATGAGAGAGGACATTGAAGCATCTCATATATTTTCTAACAGCAGTGGGCAGTGCACACAGCTACCGAATTAAATGTGAGTGGTGTAGCCTCAGATAGGACAGTAACACTTTTGCATTGCACATTCTGGACTGAACACTCTTCTTGCACATTCAAACAGTACTAGTCTGTACTGTGGTATCACTGTGCGGGGAGAGAGGTTTATTCGTATGGCATGGTATTTTGAATTTTCTCAGTAATATGATTGTACACATTTTCATGTGGCACGTGTGTGTAAGAATACACATAAGTACTCATGAGATAAGTGATGGGTTCATTCTGATTTTTTTTTATACATTGTAATAAGTATTGCACTAACTCTGAGACGTTTTTTAAAAAGTCAGGTACATATACTATGAAAAAAAATACTTAATGCAGAAGAAATTAGAAACTGCAGACATTACTTATATTTAAACCTTTCAAATGTAACAAAACGTGAAAGGCACTTTCTTTCCTGTAAAAAGGATGTTGGACTGGATTATCTGAAGCAATAAAAGTAAATGATTAATCCTTGTCTTTTAGAGATGATTGCACCTCTTTTAGATTGTAAAATTTATATACATTAATTAAGTGTAAGCAGATTTACTATGTTTGACTCCAGTGGTGGAGAAATTTTTCCTAAAGGAAGGATCTTGCTGGTTTCAAGAAAGAAGTGTGTTTCATTTATTTATTTATTTATTGCAGGCTTATCCATACAAAAAAAATCAAGTCTGGAAGGAAGCCAGAGTTGACATTCCTCCACTTATGAGAGGTTTAACCTGGGCTGCCCTGCTGGGGGTTGAGGTAAGAGTAAGAGAAAGTATGATTCACACTAATTAGGGAAGGATGAAGATTAGATAGGTACATTTTGTACTATTTGGAACAATGAAGTGAGAATAATATTTGAAACTATGTGAATAAATACAATGTTGGGGCAATTTTTGCTTCACTTCATGATTTCCGTTCTATAAAGCCAAGGAATGTTGAACTTGCCTGGGTTTCAGTTCATTTTTGACTTTTCCAAAAAAGATAAGTGCCTAGGCATCCTTGGCAATATTTAAAAATGCCACTGCTATTTAACAACAATATATTATTATTATTATAACTCCAACAAATACACTTAGCAATCCCCTCCCCAATCAACAAGGGCTAGAAAAAAATAAAGACTCGGAGGAAAAAAATCTCCTTTCCATCCCACTCTGATCTTCCAGGGTGTAATTCAGACCAGTGAAGGGTTGTCACTATTTGCCGTGCAACCTGGGGTGCCTTCAATGCTTCTCTGCTGGAGCTCTCAATGTAGGCCATTCACAAACGGCATGCAGGTCATATCCTGAGTGTCTATGTATATCCACAGTCCTGGTCCAGCAGCTCTGATCCCAGCAGCCTGTCAGCAAACACCAGCCACAGTCTGGCTTCTAGCAGCCTTGGTTACTACTTGCAGGGTGACCCCACCGTACTCCCAGGCCTGGATTTTCCACAAAAAACATGTTTTGTGCACTGTGCAAACGTCTTCTGGACAGTCCAGATATATTAGGTCTGTTGCTCTTTTAAGGTAAGATAAGATCCCATGGGAAGCAAGTTTAAGGGGAAAAACAGTTCAAGAGAGTTGGCAGTTTTTCAAAGAGACATTATTAAGTGCACAAAAGCAAACTATCCCACTGTGTAGGAAAGATAGGAAGTATGGCAAGGGACCACGCTGGCTTAACCAGGAGATCTTTAATGATCTGAAACTGAAAAAAGAGTCCTACAAAAAGTGGAAAATAGGTCAAATTACAAAGGGTGAATATAAACAAATAACACAGATATGTAGGGACAAAATTAGAAAGGCACAAAATGAGATTAAACCAGCTAGTGATATAAAGGGTAACAAGAAAACATTCTACAAAGACATTAGAAGCAAGAGGAAGACCAAGGGTAGGGTAGGTCTGTTATTCAGTGGGGGTTGGGAGGGGGAACAATAATACAAAATGTGGAAATGGCAGAAGTGCTAAATGACTTTTTTTGTTTGTTTTCACCAAAAAGTTTGGTAGCAATTGGACATCTAACTTAATGAATGACAGTGAAAATGAGGTAGACTCAGGCTAAAATAAGGAAAGAACAAGTTAGAAATTACCTAGACAAGTTAGATGTCTTCAAGTCACCAGGGCCTGATGAAATACATCCTAGAATACTCAAGGAGCTGAGAGAGGAGATATCTGAACCATTAGCAGTTATCTTTGAAAAGTCATGGAAGACAGGATAGATTCTGAAAAGGGAAGTATAGTGCCAATCTATAAAAAGTGGAACGAGGACAACCTGGGGAATTACACACCTGTAACTTCTTAACTTCAGTACCCGGAAAGATAATGGAGCAAATAATTAAGCAATCAATTTGCAAACACCTGGACGATAATAAGGTGATAAGTAACAGTCAGCATGGATTTGTCATGAACAAATTGTGTCAAACCAACCTGATAGCTTTCTTTAACAGTGTAACAAGCCTTGTGGATGGGGGGGGGGGGGGGGGGGAGTGGTAGATGAGATCTATCGTGACTTTAGTAATGCTTTTGATATTGTCTCACATGACCGTCTCATAAATAAACAAGGGAAATTCAGCCTTGATGCAACTACTATAAGGTGAGTGCATAACTGGATGGAAAACCATTCCCAGAGAGTAATCAGTGGTTAACAATCAAGCTGGAAGGGCATATCGAGTGGGGTCCTGCATGGATCAGTTCTGGGTCCAGTTCTGTTCAATATCTTCATCAGTGATTTAGAGAATGGCATAGAGAGTACATTTATAAAGTTTGCGGACGATACCAAGCTGGGAGGGGTTGCAAATGCTTTGGCATTTAGGATTAAAATTTAAAATGATCTGGGAAAAGTGAAGAAATGGTCTGAAATAAATAGGTTGAAATTCAGTAAGGACAAATGCAAAGTACTCCACTTCGGAAGGAACAATCAGTTGCACACATACAAAATGGGAAATGACTGCCTAGGAAGGAGTACTGCGGAGAGGGATCTAGGGGTCATGGTGGATCACAAGCTAAATATGAGACAACAGTGCAAAAAAAGCAAACATCATTCTGGGATGTATTAGTAGGAGTGTTGTAAGCAAGACACGAGAAGTAATTCTGCTATAGTCTGCGCTGATTAGGCCTCAACTGGAGTATTGTGTCCAGTTCTGGGTGTCACATTTCAGGAAACATATGGACAAATTGGAGAAAGTCCAGAGAAGAGCAACAAAGATGATTAAAAGTGTAGAAAACATGATGTATGAGGGAATATTGGAAAAAATAGGTTTGTTTAGTCTGGAGAAGAAAAGACTGAGGGGGTGGTCATGATAACAGTTTTCCAGTACATAAAAGGTTGTTACAAGGAGGAGGGAGAAAACTTGTTCTCTTTAACCTCTGAGGATAGGACAAAAAGCATGGGAGATTTAGGTTGGACATTAGCAAAAACTTCCTAATTGTCAGGGTGGTTAAGCACTGGAATAAATTGCCTCGGGAAGTTGTGGAATCTCCATCTTTGGATGACAAACACCTGTTGGGCATGGTCTAGATAATACTTAGTCCTGCTGTGAGTGCAGGGGTCTGGACTAGAAGACCTTTTGAGGTCCCTTGTAGTCCTACATTTCTATGGTTCCTATATATTCTAAGGGCTTTTTGTTTATTTAACGTGTTCTTCTTACACTTTAGGGTGCCATTCAAACAAAATATGATGCCATTGATAAGGACACTCCAATTCCTACAGATAGACAAGTAAGATTCCTTTTTACTTTCAAGTACTGTCACTTAAGATAATGCCAAAGGTTTTTTCCTCCTATTAACTGTCAGTCAACTGTTTTACTGCAGCTGATGATTGTTATTTAATGTTAATGTTTTTTCTCCCAGTTTTGTAATATGCTTGTTCTGCACAAAGCAAATTGGAAGGCCACCAAAAACAAACAATAGTAACACAAATTTAACAAATACATACAATGAAATCTTGTATTTGAGTCAAAAACAATATTTTGAAACAACCAAAGGTAGAGCTGTCATAAACAACCTAGCAAATATTTAAAAAAAGAGTCACTCTCCCCTCAACACTTACTATGCACCTTGGAATTAGATTCTGAAAGACACACATCATCCCCAAATCCCATCAGCTTCAACTGACACTGAAGGCATGCAGTACTTGGCGGAAATGGGTTCCTGTTTAGTTAGGTTCTCCAAGAAGTCCTGTCAAATAGTAAATGGCTAACGTCCTACCAAATGGCTTTTCAACTAGCCCAAGAATTTTTTTTCATCGAATTGGGCCTTTTATTATAATAAAGAACTAAGTGACATTAGCATCCTGAGAGATGCAATTTGAGAGTTGAGCTAGAAATCAGTACAACAAAAAATGCCCTTTTTTATTTTTGAGGGGACAGGGCTGTATTTCAAAAGAATTCTTTTGTATTTTTAATCTGTGTGTGCAGCTCATGGAATGCTCCCTTTTCCCCCAGTTCTGTTTTTGAAGGTGAGGAAGAAAATGGATTATGTTTATGTTGGTGGTCTGACCTAAATGCCTTCGCTGCATTCCAGTTCTTTCAATGTTGTGGGATTTCTGTGGTGCCACCTCTAATATCCTTGTTCTCTTTTTTTTATGCTTGTCTGTATTGCAGATTGAGGTTGATATTCCTCGCTGTCATCAGTACGATGAGCTGCTGTCATCGCCAGAGGGTCATGCAAAGTTTAGACGGGTATTGAAGGCCTGGGTAGTTTCCCATCCTGATCTTGTGTACTGGCAAGGTGTGTTCAACATGTTAGTAAGTTTAACCATTCAGTTGGAAATCTGTACAAAAGGGAAGATTTACTTTAAAATATATAGACACTTCCTAAGTAGATCAAAACCAAACACACACGTTTCTTTTCTCTGCTGTTTCTTTTTTCTTGTTCAGGAGAATTTAAACTTGGATTCAATTGTTCATTTACAGCTGTCAGTGTAGAAATGTCTGGAGAATATATCTGTGGATTACTGAAAATTTAGTGTTCTTATACTTTCCATTCTATTTGTAATGTAAATTTGCCCCAGTTGTGTTTTATAGAAATTGATCTTTCGTCTTGCATTTTAGCATTCCTTAAACTTCATCCACTTTGTTTTTAAAATGTTCTGTTGGCTAATGTTACTTAGTGCAAAGTTAAAACTGCACTGAACAGTTATTAAGTTAGATTTTTTGGGGAGTAACTTGCTGGAGCATTCCTGAAAAATGTGACAAGGCTGGAAAAAGTCCAAATAATCTACTTAGTGCTGTACTTTCAGGTTTTAAAATATTTTTATTTGCCTGCAGTTTTCATAATGTACTATACGGAGAAAAAATAAGGGTAACATTACAGGTGTCTTAATCCATCTTAAATATGTAAGTCTCTCTGATAAATGAATACATTTATCTTATGTGTTATGATAGTGAAAGAGCAGCTTTTCATAGTTTCTTTGCATTTTTTCTTCCCTCAGGTCTTGATTCACTTTGTGCACCATTTCTGTACTTGAATTTTAACAATGAAGGTGAGTACCTTCTCTATAGAATAAAACCATATCTCCATCCACCTCATGTGCCCACGCATACAGTATGTACACACGTGCTATATATACCACATTATATATCACAAACAGGTATAAACAAGATTTCAGTGAGTTTTAACTACAAGGGAAGTTTGAAACTTCAGTTCTATTACTAAAAACGTTCAGAACAAATGGTCTGTCACCCAGTGCTAAATTTTCTTGAAGGATTTATTTTTAAATTAATTTTACTAAAAACTAATTACCAGATTCACTTGCAGATACTGAGAACATTTATTCTTCTTCGAGTGGTTGCAGATGTGTATTCCACTCAAGTGTGTGCATGACCAAAGAACTTTGTCTAGCAGTACTCATAGGGCTGCCTCTTGTGCCTTCTGGCCCCTTAGTCCTCCCCTGGCTATTTAAGATTGGTGTTACTCAGTTCCCTTTCACACCCCACGTTTGAGTCGGAGCATTCTGTGTGGTATTTACCTCACCTTTCTTTCTGTCCAGTATTTCTGGAATTTTGTGTACATAGTTAGTTAGCAGCTTAGTAGTACCACCTTAGGTTTTTCGTTAGTAATAGTAGTTAGCAGCGGTCTTTAGCCTGGTGGGATGCCCTCACCAGGTTTTAAACATTGCCCATCATGTGTGCTTACTGTGCCTGGGAGAGGGACACATTAATGCAAGTCGTTTAAATAAGAGAATGCAAGTGGTGAGGGGCTTGTTAAGCAACACCTTGTGGAGCAGGCCATGAGACCCGCTTCAGCACTGGTCACTCTGTCCAGTCCCACAGAACCCTTCGGAACCAACCTGAGACGTTGCTCCAGGCTTGAGGTCACTTTTCCTCTAATACAGGGATCGGCAACCTTTGGCACTCGGCCCACCAGGGTAAGCCAGTTTTAGCCAGCCAGCCCCTTCCTTCACCACCATCAAGCAAGCAGCCCGGAATGTACTGGTGGATCACTTCAGCAGATCCTTTTCCCCTCATCACAAGTGGTCCCTTCACCTAGAGGTCACCAGGTTCATCTTCAAAGGTGGGGGTCTCCCCAGTTAGACCTGTTTGCGACCAAGCAGAACAGGAAATGCCATCAGTTTTGCTCGCTATCTGGGCACAGCCCGGAATCCCTCTCCAACGCTTTCCTGCTCCTATGGACTGGTCGCCTGTTCTACGCTTTTCCGCCGATCCCTCTGGTTCACAACGTCTTCCTAAAAGTCAAGCAGGACAAGGTGAGAATTATTCTTATGGGCCTGGCATGGCCATGTCAACTCTGGTGCGGCATGCTCCTGGATCTGTTGGTAGTAACCCCTCTCTTGCTTCTACTCCGGCTGGACCCAATCTCACAAGACCACGGCTGACTGCTTCACCCGAACCTTGCGTCCCTGCACCTAACTGCATGAATGCTACGTGGCTAAACCCAGAAGAACAGGCCTATTCGAAACAGGTTAGGTAGCTCTTGCTAGGTAGTAGGAAGCCGTCCACACAGGTTACCTACCTGGCCAAGTAGAAGCGCTTTTCGATATGAGCATCTCAGTGAGCTCTCTCTCCACCTTGTTCTTCCCTTCAGTCTATCTTGGACTACTTGCTCCATTTAAAGCAGCAAGGCCTACCAGTGAGTGGCAGGTCAGTGTTCTCGCACAAGATGATGGTCCGTTTTCTCCAGGGGCTGGAGAGGTTCTATCCTCAGGTCCATGAGCTGATCCCTCTATGGAACTTAAACCTGGTTCTGTCAAGAGTCACGGGTCCTAGCTTTGAAACGCTAGCATCATGCCCCCTCTTTTTCTGTGAATGTTCTGTAGTGGAGCCTGGTTTCTACTCTCTTGATTCTAGCTTTCCTTAGCTCAAGTAAGATCCTACATGAAAACCAGATAGCTTAGTCTCAGTCCAGGTAAAACAAAGATTTGTTGGGAGACAGGAATTGAGAGGGATTGTGACTGCTCCATCCATTGACAGGATATATATACCCTTTGTCTTGGTGGTTCACAATCTTGATGGGCTTAGTGGGCCATCCCAGCCCCTGGATTCTTATGTCACTGCAGGATTCCAAAGCTGTCTCTCTCATATTCTGCTAGTTTAGAAGTTGTAACCTTTCCTGTCATTTGCAGACAGCAGTACAATATAGTCATTTCTTTGCCATTGATAGGACATAAGAAACCAATCAAGAGCAACTTTTATCAGTGCATAGTAAAAATAAACAGTTTAGCATTGGTAGTAAAGATTTGTTGTAGCAGTTGTTTGTGTTCTTGTAAGGCTTGAGGCCACAACCTAGATCACAATCCCATTTTGCTAGATGCTGTATGTACTGGAGAGAGCGAGGGAGACCAAACCACACAGGGCAGATGTTAGTCACATCACTTATTGTGCTTTTGGAAGGCACTCAGGTACTATGGTGGTGAGGGTGGAATAAAAATTTCTATACAATAGAAACAGTCTAACAATCAAAATTATAATTAGAAGAGGTAGAAAAAATGTTAGTCACTGAGATGAAGTGTCTTGTCCAGTGTCAAGAAGTCTGTGGCAGACTGTGTAATTGAATTCTGATCTCTTGAGTTTCAGTTCTGTGCCATAGCCACAAGATTATCCTTCATTCCTAAAGAATTCTTTAAAAAAATTCCATTGCAACTACAAGCACACCTTAGGTAGACAGATGTGGTCACTCAAGTTTTGGAACTTGGACAAATGTTAATGCCTATATTACAATAATTGATATGGGAACACTACTGATCTGAAAGTCCCAAATTTTTATACTTCACCTCAAAACCAATACATGGTAAAACTGAATGTATTTGGATTGTTCATTGCATAATCAGTAGCAATATCATATTTCTTGAGTAGCTTTAAAATATTTTTTAAAGGAAAAGTGTTGTTTTTCATGCATTTTACACTGTTAGTTACTATGTGTGCAGACTGATAACAAATCAGGTATAAATACTTCTTTAGTAATGAATGTTTTCCAGTGTACAGATGTTCCTTGTACACTCTACCTTCCTACCTAATGTTGCTTGTCCTAATTTTCTTTTAGCTCTTGCCTATGCCTGCATGTCTGCTTTTATTCCCAAGTACCTGTATAACTTCTTTTTGAAGGATAATTCTCATGTCATTCAAGGTAGGTTGGTGTTTGTTTCCCTTTTCTTCTAATAAGAGAGTTTATGGAGTAGTTATTTATGCTGTGTTTTCAGTAAATTTGTTTTTTCTTCAGTGGCTTTTTAATTGACAGAAGTAGAAGCATAATCTTTCAGCATTATAGAAATACCTACTTATACCTTCAAATATTAGAAGACCAGGGTAGTAAGTGAAGGAGCAACGGCAAAACCAAAACAAAAATAAGTAGGGAAGCGTGTGAAGATGAAAAACTAACCAACAAACAGAAGCAGCAGCAGCAAAAAAAATGCTTGTTGCTCTCTGAAGCAGTTTTAAGCAGGAACCAATCAATGTAATGAAATCAGAATCCTAAAAAGACTCCCTCTGCACTTCCTGTCATGGTGGTCTATCATTGAGGCAATCCAAAGCCACTTGATTGCAGACTGCCATTCCGCTTCAGAGCAGAAGGCGAGAGGAGCAGCAGATACCAGTGTGTTTAGAGAATACATTTACTTTAGTAGAGGGTCAAGAGTCTGAGGGGAGTGCCCTATGCTTACACTTAAAGTGCTACGGTGGCACAGCTGCAGTGCCTCAGGGAAGACACTTGCTACGACGGTAGGGATCATCCCCTCACTGTAGGTAATCCACCTTCCTGAAAGGTGGTGGCCCAGGTATATGGAACAATTCTTCTGTTGACTGAGTCCTGTCTACTCCGGAGGTTATGTTGGCTTAACTATGGCTATAGCTACACTAGAGAGCTTTCAGCGGCACAGCTGCATCTAGTGTCAATCTAGTATAGTCACTCTACACCGACAGGAGAGAGCTCTCCTGTCAGCTTAATTACTCCAGTGCCCATGAGCGGTGGTAGCTATGTCGGCGGGAGAAGCTCTCCTGCCAGCATAGCGTCATGCACACTGGCACTTAAATTGGCATATGTTAATAAATGGCTAATTCACACCACTGAATGATGTAACTTATGTCGACTTAAGCTGTAGTGTAGCCATGGCCTATATCTGTCAGGGTTGTAAATTTTTCACACTCCTGAGAGAACTAGCTATGTGAATGTAACTTTTCAACATAGATCAGTTGTATGACTGAGCTGAGGACAAGTCTTCCGGAGCCCTAAGGAAACTGCTTCATAGCTCCTGGTTGTTATTTCTTGGCCTCAATAGCCCTATAAGTAAATAGGTGGAGGGGTGGGCTGTCAGTTCCTTTTAACATGGAGACAAAGTGGAGAAGAAATTTGGGAGGATTAGGAAGCCTCCCAGAGAAGATTTGCTGAAGCCATCCTATCTGAATAACAAATTTAAAAACATAGAGGATCTTTACTTCAATCCACACTCTGATGTCCTTCTTGTCATCCTTTTCCCCATCACTAGCCCTTAAATGCCCACTTGACAGCAATTCTAACGTGCTGTTCGTAAGATTCATGAGTCAGAAGTGTGTCTTAATAGCTTGGTTAGGGCATTGTCTCTGTTGACCTAACAATGTTTTTTGTCTTGGGAGTCAAGTTGGCAGCTGTATGAAAAAGAACAGAACATTGTTCTGCAGAAACTTTAGTTTGAGCATAGAGGAAAATACTTTTGAAATCTCTCTTGCTTTTTTTTTTTTTTTTTGAGCAGAGGGGGGAGAGAGAGGGAAAATTAATGCTAAAAAGGTAGATGTTGTTAAACATGATACATAGCTTCACTTTTTCTCATTGGTTACTACGATTTGTACCTGTTTAACAAATAATAGATCTTGCTGAAATGCACCACATGCACTTATAATCCACAAATAAACGTTATTACAATACTTTCCCTGTATGTCTTCTACTGAGGAACAGCATTTATTTTCTCCCTTCATCTCCAAAAAGACATGGGAAAGTTCTTAGAAGGTCAACAAAAATGATTGGACATTAAGATTGGGATAGACGGTAATATGAGGAGAGACTAAAAGATTAGGACTAGATAGTTTGGAATGGAGATAAGTGAGAGGGGAGGTGTGATCAGGACACATGAAATAATGAATGGCATGGAGAAGGCCAGTCAGGAGCTATTCTGTTTGCACTCTATCATAATATAAAGGCAAAGGGGCACTTGATGAAACTAAAGGAGCATATTTTTAAAGAATAAAATCAACTGTTATTTTATACAATAAATAATTTGTCTGTGGAATTAACTGCTTTAGGCCTTTTTAAGGCCAGTAGCTTAGTGAGATTTTTTTTTTTTAAAGTTTGAGACAGTGATATGTAGAAGAATATCATTTGTAGTGTTGCTAACTAGGATATAATGAGAGTTCTTGATCTTCATGTGTCCAGGCCTGAAAAAATTACCGAAATGGGGATAGGAACATGGTTTGATATTGCATAAATAACTGTATTATGTGGTCTTTTCATCTTGCACTGCAGCATCTGGTCTGGGGATATTGGACTAGCTGGACTGTTGACTGTGGGTTCTGATTTGTTAGTTTCTAGCTGGTGGTGTTCAATGTCAACAAATTAATACAGTTTTAAAGGAAGGTTTTGTGATGGTTTGTTTAGTTTGGTGTGCTGAGCTCTTTCCTATTCCCTGGAGACTCTGTGAGGAACATGGCAGGATGGATCATGTCTGATTACATCACTGCAATTTTAGCACCTCACCCCTTAATGGAATAAAAATCTTTCCCAGTGCAGAAAGATGCAGCATATCTAATTTCTGAGCCTGCCCTAAGCAGTTAAAGCACAGTTTGTCAGATTTATCAGATGCATTTCCCCATATGAAGTAAGATGTAAGAGCAATTAAAGGTTTATAGCTATAGAATATCAAATTATGCCAAAGATTCATAACATAAAATTCCAGCCAACAGTGTTTGTCAGGACCTAAATGATACGTTTTCATGAAGGATTATGTGTCTTCAATAGACCCTTCATTAATCATCTAATCCCACACAATAATTATATTTTATGAGTCTGGCTACACAAATAAAAATGATATTTAACAAACTATAGTATATCTGTGCAGAACCACCAGAGGCACAGATTTCTTGTTTAAAAGGAAATGTTCTTGAGGGAAGTTAATGGTGAATCTGTTTTCATCAGCACACATCTGAATGTATGTGATTACTGGCTTTATATGGCTTGGTCTGCATTACCAGCTTATGTCAGTATAACTATGTTATCCATACCCCTGAGTGACATTATTATACCAACCTAACCCCTGGTGTAGACAGAGCTATGTCGACAGGGAGAAGCTCGCCCGTCGACATAGGTAGCGTCTTCACTAAGCAGAGGGTGCAGCTGTGCTACTGCAGTGCAATAAGTGTAGAAAAGCCCTGTACCTTACCCATGGTTGCTGGGTATTTTATTAACGCAAATGTGTGAGTACTGTGAATGTGGGGAAAGCTAAATTAAGCGTGGCTTGTCCAACCAGTTTATTTGGATAATACATGCATACAATGAGACTGGGGGCTTGTCTTCATTGCAGTATTAGCTCAAGATATAACTTGTGTTGCCCCTAACATGACTCCTGTTCATGCATAAAAATCTCTAGCTCAAGTTAAGTGGTACTTTAAACTTTAGCTAGCTGTTCTGTCAGAATATGAGAGTTAAAATTTGAGTGATGCTGACGCTAGTAATGCAGTGAGGATGCAGTTACGCTGTCTTAGTTTTCACTTCTTAAAAAGGTGTGATTTTTATGGCCAGATAACAAACACGTGATTGTTATCTTGTTGCAAAATCCTAAGTGGAGACAGGGGACTTGTGCCCAGGGCTACGAGGTCCAGATCCACGCCCTGATTGTGGGAGCTCTGGGCGCATGGGACCCTCACAACGAGCTGGTGCTGTGAGCGTGCAGTGTCGGTCGACGCTACGCCCGGCTCACGAGACAGCTCATGGTGTCCGACACCATCAGGTGGTCCAGAGACATCTACACGGAACACATCACAGGACACCGTCAGTTCCAGGTTGAGTAAGCGAGAATGCCGGTCAGGGAAATAACCCACTTCCTTCCTTCCCTGACGAACCAAGGGACGCACCCCACCCATGTACTTATTCACTACACCAATACTGACTTGGACTCTAAATACATTCTATGGGTGGCGTACCTGAGACCACTTATCCACTGATGTTTTAAAAAACTCCCGCACCCCAGTCTGGGTTATGTACTATTTATGTATCCTGTGAACCTTGTAACGCATACCTGTAATCCCTCATAACTCAAGCCTGACCCCAGATGTACAGTACCTTCCCCCTTAACTTGTGTAAATTTGATTTTAAACATTAGCTTCAATAAAAATATTCATGGCGAGGTAGATCGGTGAGGTCAGCATTATGCCTCCACCCCTCCCACCCCCACCCCCGAACTGTGATTAACCTCATGTAGTTTACTTCACTGTAAAACTGAAGTGCCTTGTATTCACTATGTTTTACAGTGGGATAGCTGATGCGCATTAGTTATCCTCTGGTAAAACGCACCTTTTTTTGGTCAGTGAAATCAAGCCCTATATTGCTAATCCAATCATTCTGTGCTGCTGATCCATTGTGCAGATCAAGGGTTGATTTGCAGTATGAGAACTCTCATTGGGACTAGGCTAACTCAGGGTGTTGACTGAATGAAGATAACTCAAGATAAAAGACAAGCCCTGATACCAGTATTTGTAAATGGAATGCTTGCAAATTAAGGAGGGAGCAGTTTGGGGACTTCCTAAGGCACTGTAGCAGCACTTACTGACCATTCACTTAAGAAGCTATTATTAAAGGGTGTCTGGCTATGACTCCTTGGCATGAAGAGATGCTGCCTTATAAGAGCCTTTGATGGAGGGACCTAGAAATCTCTGCCATTGGGGCAGGGTTATGCAGTGTTAGGCAGCAGCACTGTTTGGAAATTTGAGAACTTTGTGGAAGGGAAAGGGAAATGCAACCTGTCATGAAATTGCAAGGATAAAGTCTCTTGATTCTGATTCTAAGAAAGGCTCGACTTGCAGATAGGCAAATGAAATTGTGTGTAAGGGGGAGGAAGTGGAGAGAAGCCTTTAAGGGGGGGGATGAGCTTCCATTTTGGCTCCTCCGAAATTAAATGTGAATAATGATTAAGGCAATTGGGTTAAACTGTCCCTTTCAGCCTGATGTGTAGAACTGGAGATGCATTATTAAATCTGTCCTGTAATAATTCTTTTCCCTCCCCAGAAAGGAAAATAAAGAAGATAGGTGTTAATAAAGGGAGGAGAGGCTTAACACTTCAGTCCACATAATGATGTAAACAAGTTCACTTAGTAGCAAATACGTTTAGCATGGTGATATCTTTGTAGTTTTCAGTGCAAGTCAGTTCCTGGAAATTACTGGAAGAACCTGGTTCTAATTTACTTTAATCAGTGGGATATGCCCAAGGCCTACTTCATATTCATGCTGAAATATTTGCTATTTTTTAATTGTGTAATTTGCAAGTGTGTTACTTGCTGAGCACCAAACAAGTATTCCATTTGTTTTAGCTGTATCTGAATAGAAAAGGAAGTATGGAAAGCCCTAAGGGCTTATCTACATGTACAGTGCTGCACCGTTGTAGCGCTTAGTGAAGATGCTTCTTACACTGATGGGAGAACGTCTCCTGTTGGCGTAGATACTCCATCTCCTCGAGGGATGGTAGCTATGTTGACAGGAGAAGCTGGTCCTGTCTACATAGGCCTGTCTACATTGGGGGTAGGTCGGTATAACTATATCACTCAGGGGTATGGATTTTCCATACCCCTGAGCAACATAGTTATACCAGCATAAGTTCCTAGTGTTAGACCAAGCCTAAGTGTAGAGGGGATAGAAGCTGTGTACTGTTGAAGATGCACATAGTATAAACAGGGAGAGGAGAAAAAACTTAAAATGGCTTTTTAAAAACGTATTTAATCCTAATGGATAATATAATAGTTAAAATGGTGTTGTATGTATAAAGAAAAGCGCAAGCTTCATAATTAATACTGTTCCAGGTACATGTATTCCTTGTGTGTGAGTTAAGTGTGCAGTTGTGTTGTTCTCTTTTTTTTGGCAATGATCTTAAACATTGTTGTCATTTCAGAATACCTGACAGTGTTCTCCCAGATGATTGCATTCCATGACCCAGAGCTGAGTAACCATCTCAATGAAATTGGCTTTATTCCAGATGTAAGTGCTAAGGGTTCTTGTAAATGCTGTATAATGAAGCTAAAGAGGAGAAAAAAGGAAGAGAGGGTAATTCTAATAGGGTGTTTCTAAATTGTTGCTGACACAATGAAAGTTGCATATGGAAGAACTTTACCTCTGACACTGGAAGTTTGATGTGGACGCAGTGGCAAAATGAGGACAGGGACATGCATATAATTAAGTGTCAGGCTGCAACTTTTATTAAATTTTAACACAAGGGAGGCGCACTACCTGCCATCACCCATAATCTCTTGTACTAGGCATTTATTTAGCTCAAGTGGGCCGGGGGGGAGAGAGCTGCAGGACTCCTTACCATATAACCTGTAACTGGCACCAGGATTACAGGACTCCTTACCATACAACCCATAACACGAGGTAGGCTGTCTTCGCCCTAACCCCCAGAGGGGGACAGAGGGTGCAGCAGGGTGGGGACCTCAGCCAGTGAAGACCACAAGGTCTCACCTGTCACATGAGCCCAAAGCTCACCACAAAAATCCCAGGTCTTTCACCTCGTGGGAACTGTTCATTTTATTCTCTTAACTGCACTGGAAACTGGCCACAAGTTTCAGCAAATAAACAACTTCACCCCAGTACCTCAGTTAGGTACTAAGTGAGTTCCTACTTAACCCACTGTGGCTTTCAGGTGCTGCGAGGAAGGCAAAAACGTCATGGTCCTCCGCCAGTTGTCCCATGGGAGAAAAAATTCCTTCATAATCCCCTGAACAGGCAGTGGGATAGTCCCACAGCATGTGTCAGGCCAGGTTCCCATTCCTAGTTTGGGTGGGTAGAATGGTCCGCTTGAACTGAGACAGAAGATGCTCCATATGGTTCCTGCCTTGAGCTAAATTCTGCGAGCAGGGGAGTGCTGGCCAATCAGCATGCTTCTCCCCCTGGCCAGTGGGTGCTGGAGACTCCCAGGGTTGGAGCTATTTATTGTCCCTTGGCGAGTGTCTCCCTCCCTTTCTACTGGGACTGCTCCCCTTTCACCTCTGGCCCCTACCCATTGATTCTGGTGGGTGGCATTTCTCGAAGGGCTTATGATTAAGGCTAAGATTTTGTCATGGATATTTTTAGTAAAAGTCACGAACAGGTCATGGGCAATATAGACAAATTCACAGAAGCCCGTGACCAGTCCCTGACTTTTACTAAAATTATCCATGATACAATGGGAAGGGACTGGG